ACTGAGCTTGGGGCTGCAGGGACCGAGCAAACCCCGTGGGTCACATGGCCTCAGAGCAGCATCATTCTGAGGTTGAAGGTGCTGGCTTATTGGGGGCAGGGAGATCAAAAAAAGTACTCCTGGGGGTCTTTGTAGATGGTGAAAAGTCCATCAACAAGCATTTACAGACAGCCCACTGTTCACTCAGCCTGGTGCTCCCTGGGTCCTGTCTGGGCCCAGATGCACAGCCCTGGAATCCACAGAGCAGGCTTCCTGTTCAGGCCTGAGTGCAATGTGAAATTACTGCTTTCTCATTCTTTCAGGGCTTCAAAAGTGCAGGCCATCGGGAATCGGGGCTGGAATCAGAGGACATTGGGGGCACCGATCTTGTACTCCTGCCCTCTCCCACCTCACTCATGGTCCTGCATGATGCACAGATTTTCTTCACTGTGTCTACAGGAGGGGATGCTGCCTGCTCTCCATGTGACCCAAGACTGGTGACCACTGTGGCACCCAGAAGTCGTGCACGGACTGTTTATTGGTGTTGGTGACCTGTGACAGTGCTTTGTCTAGAGTGGAGACCAGCTGCCAGGGCTGGGGCTGGGTGAGGGGCGTATCTGTGCCCTACCTGGAAGCTGAGATGAAAACAGGACCCCTGGGGGTCACCTGCAGCTGGGGTGAGTCTGCTCCAGAACACCTCAGCGTCCCCCACTGTCCCCGCCCAGCGCTCGGAGCTGGAGAAGCCTCACCAGCTGAGTCTTCCCACGCCTGTTCCAGGGATCCCTCCTGAGATGCTCCTCTTCCTCTGCGGTGTCCCCTCTGCGGTGTTAAGGACATGTGTGCCTCCTCCATGTGGCATCTTTTCATTCTTGATGTGAAGAATAAAATGTTACAGAGGTGCGGGTGTGCTGGCTAAAAATAGCCCATCTATTAGAAGGTGAGAACTGGGTGGGAAATGCAGAGCGCTGGGGACAGGACATGCCTCTGTCCCCTCCTTTCCCATGACAGCTACCCCCCACCCCCACTCTGGCACCATTCAGATGCCCCAACCCTCCAGCCGGTGAAGCTGGACAGTGCCCAGCAGGACCACACCAAGGGTGACTTCATATGTTACCTCAGTGCACACCAGCTTTGAAGCCATCTGCATCTCCCCAGAGGAGCCAGCGCCCATCTTTCCGTGCACAAGGAAGCAGGCACGTGCCTTCCTCCAACCCATCCATCACTAGTGCACCATGGTCAGCTGTGGCAGAGAAACAGGCACCTCTGGCACCAGTATCACCTCATCAGGAGGTCCTCAGGAGTGGGGCTCCTCAGGAGTGGGGGGTCCTCAGGGCCCCAGGCTGCAGGAGCAGTGGCTCACAGACCTCGGGCAGCTGAGGGCTCCGGGCACTGGAGGAGGTGGAAGAGAGGCCCAGTGGTGAGGCCAGCTTGCACCAGGGTCACCTCCTTCCTGGTCAACCTCCCCATCCTGCTGCTGCACCTACCTGCTGTCCACTTCCCAGAGCCAGCCATCTACCTCTCTGGTGGCCTCTGCCCTCTCCTGGGAGCCCTGAACATGAGCAAGGCTCTCTTCTCTAGGGCTCTCCGGATGCCTCAGGCTTCACTGCTGGAGCTTTGCTGGCACTCACAGCCCTGGCCCTGGAGAGTGCGTCTCCCTGCCCCACATCAGCAGTGCTTGCCCACCCTCCCCCTTCCCAGGACAGCTCACCAGTGCTCCAGACTCAGCTCTCCCCCCACTTGTCATCCTGCACCTTGAGTTTCACTGACCCAGGGTCTCTGGCTATGGAGCGGCAAGTCCTGGGGCCACTGTCCTCCTTCTGCGCTTGCTGTTCTCTGAGCATGGCCTCTCCCAGCCCTTACTGTCCCCCTACCCACAGAGCCGACTGTGGACCCTGCTCCGGAATGTGGTGGCCTGACCCTGTAGGCTGAACTGGTCCCTGGGCTTGGGACTGAAGTTATCTTGAATCATGGCAGTGTGTGTTTTCCTGCTCCTGGGGTCAAGTCCTGGCCGAGGGTCTCAGGTGGTGGGAACTCAGCGAGGTTTCCGGGGTAAGAGAGCTGCTGTGTGAGCTCCACTCCATCCTGGGGCTACAGACTCCCCAAAACACAGTCAAGCCCACTGCACCCAGGTGCAAAGCCCAGCATATAGGGCCACCCGCACAGTCCCCTCGTCCCCCTGGCTGTCCTCGGCTCAGCTCCAGACCGGGAGGGGATGCTGAGTGAGGAAGGGTGCGATGAGGGTTAAGGGGGCCCAGCAGTGATGCCTAAGCTCTGCACTTGAGCCCCACTTAGCTGCCAGCTGTGTAAAAATAGAAGGAAGAGATTAAAAAGGAGCTCGAGGAGCCATCAGCGGCCCGAATGTGCAGACTAATTCAATTTCCGTAACTTCCTGGCTCTGAAGTGCTCGGTGGGGACAGCCCAGGGCCCTGTGTCAGGGCGGGGGCAGAGGAAGAGCCCAGCTGAGCTCCTGTGGGCTCCAGGGCCACTTGTAAATTTCCCAAACTTCCTCTGCATGTCAGTGTCCTGCCTACGGCTGTGGGCTGCTGGCACCACCTCGGCCCGGCTGAGGACCTCCTGTTCCCGGCCACTCCAGAAAGAGCTACAGTCCTATTGGTCCTTGGCTTGGGGACTTTTCCATGGGGGCTGCTCACAGGGTGGCTGCCACCCCCTCCATGTCATCAAAGACAGAGCAGGGAGAGAGGGGACACCCGAAAAGGGAGCTGGAGGTGCCATTCATAACCTCATCTTGGCGGGTGGGGTTCTCTGCCTCTGCTGGGAAAACGGGTGAATTCCAGGTGTGGGTCTCTGGAGGCTGTTTCATTTCTTGGGTGGGGAAACTGAGGCTCAGCCCCTGTAGGCTGCTTGCCTGAGCTGATAGACCCAGCAGGACAGGCAAGATGGGCCCTCGGACTCTCTCACAGCTGCCTCTCACCCACGAGAGACCTGTGACCATGACAGAGTCATCCAGTGACCTGAGTCTCAGTTCTCTATCTCTTCAAAGGCACAAACTCTGCAGGTCATCATGGCCCTAGGTGCCCAAGGTGATGTGAATCAAAGGCTGGGGAGCTCTGGGGGACGAAGCTGAATGAGTCCAGTGTCTGAGAACCAGCTGGATGCCAGCACCATAGAATCAAAAATGCCACATTCCTGCTGGGTTTCGGTGATCCAGCATCTTCCAGGGACTGTAACTAGCACCCTCTGTAGATGCTGCACTGAGTTTGCCAGGGTCTGCTGGGCTGTCCTGCAGCAAGAGTCAGCCCCCAAGGCCCTGGGGCTACATGTACCTCCATGTCCCCGTGTCTAGGGCCAGTGGCCAGAGGATCTGACTTGCCAGAGTATCTTGGGGACCCAGGAGATGGAGTCCTGTGCCCATGCCTGTGTGAGCTTCCTCAGCCACCACTGCCTGCTGCGCCCAGAAACGCTGCACGCCTGCTTGCCTGTGTCTCAGTGGACCAGGGCCACACCCAGCCTCTAGGAAGGGACACTGCTTTCTTCCTGCTGTTGGGCAGAAGCACCAGATGCCCTCAGAGACCAGCGCTGTGCGCTTCTCCTCAGCTCCTTTTATGAACACCAAGGTGGCCCCACACTGGACCCTCAGAAGTGCCCCCAAAGGAAAGGAATGGCCTGGTCCAGGATTTAACCCAACACTTTTGGATGCTGCCACCCAACATAAACTCGAGAAGGGACACCGCTCTGCCTGTCCCCAGCCACAGGCATCAGGTCCTCTTCCACTCTCTAGATTCACGCTTTTCTTCCAATGCAAAGCATCTCCCCAGCCAACTGTGACACTAGGAGGCTGAGTCACTGTTTCGGTTCATTCTCGACCTCCCACAGGAGATGGAAACAACCACCAGAAAGAAAAAAAAAAAAAAAAAACATTGTGGACACTGAGGCTTGCTTGTATGTTTCCTGGAAGCAATTGCTTAATTAATGACTAACAAGAAATAAAAACAAACAGAGCTCAACCGCATCCTCCTTCCCACCAGGCAGCGGGCGGGTGATGCGCAGACAGAGGGAGGCAGAGATGCTGCCCTTGGCAGGGCGCTCACAGGCACCCAGGTTTCCACTGGTGACTCGGGGCTGCTGACTCCTGGCCTGTGCCTTGGTTTCCCGTGAAGGCATTTTGTTCGTGTGTAGGTCCAGGTCCTTCCTACCCTCTACAAGGGCTGCTTTTGCTGTGTCGACCTGCACTGGCCTCTGCTGTTCTTTCTGCCAGGTCTCTGAGCCCCGCTGTATGGCCTGCGCACTGGAACCCACAACAGCGCCCCCTCCTCCACCATGGTGGCCAAGTTGGGTAAAGAGGATGCTGGGGACAGTACACGAGGATCAGCGCCGAGTAGCAAACACATCTCGTCTCCTCTTCCTGTTGTTGATGTAAACCCATGACTCTGCTCTGGGGAAGTAAGCAGATCACAGGCTCTGGGGCTGCGGAGGGCTGAGGTCCACTGGGCTCAGCTGGACAGCCTGGGAGGCTGACCTTAGTCACGGGCATAGGAGGGCAGAGTCAGGCTGAGGCTGGACAGCTGTTAAAGGGACTGAGATCCCACACTCGTTTTGGCTCTCCCCGTGCAGCATTCACCTCTCTGCTGTCCCGATGCCCTTGGCCAAGGTCAAGCAGCCAGCAGGATGCACAGGGCAGGCGAGGCTTGTGCAGGGAGCTCTAGCCCTGCACTATTGGCAAAGCTCGTGTCTAGGCTTCTACTTTCTGAGGTTCCTAGGGGCCGCTGGCTCAGGAAGGTCTGAACACCTCTCCTTCCCCACTTCCCCTTTCCACCTCCACTCTGATCTCAGGTCCCCTCCCCGGAGTCTTTGTGCCTGGATGACTGCGTGCTAGGGCTCTAGGACCAGCGTAAGGGTGTGGGTGGGTGGACAGGGTCGCAGTGGAAGTCACAGAGCCACTTGTGTTGTGGCCCCATGTCGTGAGTGTCTAGAGCACTCTGAACTCCGGGCAAGGTAAACACGCACGCCTTGTCGGGACACGGGGGGTACAGCGCTTGGAAAAGAAAGACAGGAGAGACACCTTTGCTGTCTGCACCGCGTTACACTGCACTGCACTGCACTGTACGCACAATCTTTATTTTAGGATTCATATATAGTAAACCCGATCAATTCACAGAGCCCAGATAATTAAGTAGTGAAAAGGCATTCTTTGTGGCAAGCTACAACGTGACAGACTACAATGTTTATTCTAAAACTATCTAAGTGAAGTAAATAATCACAACCAGTTCTCACAACTTCTCTAGCCCAGGAAGAAATTCATTAGCTCAAGAATGTTGTTAATTTGTCTGCTGTTAGTGTCACAAAGGGTGGCCAGCCACTTCCTCAAGACTTCTGCAAAACAAAGCCAGCTCACAGTATGGATTCCAGAGGGTGAGGGCTCACTGAGAACAGGCATTCCCGTTCTACCTCCTTCTCGCATACCAGGGCGGCTATTGTAAATTGCAGGTTAGAGGGGGTTGGGCCTACAAAGTGACACCTCATCCCCCACACTTCCTTCCTTTTTATTTTTTAACAACAATTTCCATAAGATCAGGTTATTAATAGCATTTCGTCTTATGCAGTAAAAATACACAAGAACTATGGCAATGAGAACTATAATTAAACTAAGTCCCATGCCACTAAAAGTGTGGGTAATGCTCTGCCAGATTCCTTTGGAATCTAATCCTTTCAAAGATTGAGCAAGCAATTGCGCGAATTGTGCTAGAGATTCATCATCATTTTGCTTTGCAAAATCCTTGTCAATTTGATTATGCAAAGATTCTATTTCCTCCTGGGCAGAGGTGTTTCCATTTAAATACATTCTAATCATTTCCCATTCATGTTCTGTCTGATTATAAGGTCGTTGGGTTATACAGAAAGTAGTTGAATTCCAATCACATTTTAAAAACACTTGATGCTGAAGAGCCAATATTTTTCTACCCATCCATTCAACTGTTTGTTTAAGGAGGTCTATTTGTTGTTGTAGTTTGGCGTTTATTTGCCACTGAGTTAACCAAAGTTCATGAGAATTCTCATGCCATAATTCGACAACATGTTTTTCTTGCAAAGAGGTATGTAAAGCTACTCCTGAGACTGCTGCTAGAGAGGCTACAGTTATCAGACTTAACAGTACAGCAACCACTATTCCAATAAATCTTTTTGTACGTTTTAACAGATGTTTAAAAAATTCAGTAGTAACAGAAATTACCGGGTCTTGAGACCAAGGTCGAGTTAAATTTACAGGCAACCAAATATGAGTTTTTTGTTGTAACAGCATAACTGTATAAGGCTTAGTGAAATTTAGTGTGCTATTTAAGCATGTAAACAATTGACAATTTAAACAAGTACAAGAAAAATGTGTAAAATTAAAAGTTCCCACTAAAAAGACATAAGGTAGAGGTGCACAAACAGTAATATTATACATTTTAAACCTAGTAAAATTATAAGTAGTAGATACAGATCGACTAGTCCCTGAATATGAAACATTGTACAAGGTTACAGGTTGCATAGCGGCTGGGATCTTCCAAATATGATTTTGAAGGTGATGAGGGTATTCTTCGGCTGCAACAGCAGGGTTAGCGATTCCACCATCTCCCCACCACAAGAGAGCCGTCTTTTGTTGAAATATAGGAGCTCCGTCAGTTATTTTCTTTGGATCTGGAAGACTATACACAACAGAGAGATTACATCTTGTCTCATTCCATTCAGCACATCCATTAACGAATTTTCCAAATGGTCCCCAAATAATATACCCATCAATATTTTTAGCAAATTTTCCCATACATAGTTGCCAAATTATGGGATTATAAGAAATATTTTTATAAGTGAATTCAGGGCATACAGGAAATGTATTTGTATCAGGTGCTGTTAAATTTTTCCAGGTAACATTAAAGGTTTGAGCAGCCAAGGCTTGAAGCCTTGTCCTTTTGTTGCCTGCTTTTATTCCATGTTGAATCCAATACTGCCATCCCAGAGGGATGCAAGGCGGTTCCCCAATGCAAATAGGCCTTTGATTACCATAATAAGTAAAATTGAATAGTGTCCCATCATCTTGATTGTGGGGGGTTAAATCAGCCCACGGTGCTGACAAAATTTCTCTAGGTGTGGTATAAAGTAAAATATCACTAGTTCCCCATTTTACAGGTTCTAATAAAGGGGGGTTTGGAATATATGCCCAGTACGAATGCGGAGGTACCTCAGTCCCCGATGCAACGGTGAGCAAGGCACATAAAGCTAAAAACAAGTTTTCGGGGTTTAAAGGCTTTCCTGCTTGAAGGACAAGCCGTTGCCCTTCTATGGTCAATTTCTTTAATTGTCCCCATGTAGGGAGGGGATTTAAATTTGGTCGCTGTGAGCGGCGGGATTTTCTTAGCTGTAATCTGGCCATGGCTGCGATAGGAACAAACTCAGCATCCTCAGCTTCTAGCTGGTTTCGCGCTCGCTTCTGAAGGCACGGTTCCGGTTCCTTGGGGAGTTGTCTCCGGGGCTGGTGAACAGGATCTGGAGACGCGGGTCCTGATCCATCGTCCAGGGACCCACTGCTGAATTCCATTTTCTGTGGAGATATAACCAAAACCTTTCCCCCTATAGAGCAATGTGCCCCTCTCCCATTCAGCCTCTGGAGCTGTTTTAGTCCAAATAGGTTCATTAATCACAAAAGGCTGTTGTTGCTGTTCAAAATGTTTTTCAGCTCTTGTTAATATTTCACCTTGTGGTAAATTGAGAAAATTTAAAATAAACAATGCTTGATGCAGTAATGTTTTTGGACTGTTTTGCAATTTAAACAGTATTGGTATCTGAATATCCTCCTGACTCCTCCTTTTTAATTTTTTAATTTGCAACTTAAGAGTGCCATGTGCTCTTTCAACAATAGCTTGACCCTGGGGGTTATATTCAATCCCTGTAATATGAATAATATTATGGAGATCACAAAATTGTTTAAATGTTCTGCTAGTATAAGCAGGTCCATTATCTGTTTTGATTTTAGAAGGAATTCCCATAACTGCAAAAGTCTCCAATAAATGTACAATAACATTTTTAGTGGATTCTCCCTGTTGAGCAGTAGCCCATAGAAATGAAGAATAGGTATCAATAACTACATGTACATAAGAAAGCCGACCAAAAGAAGGTACATGTGTAATATCCATTTGCCATAATTCATTAGGTTGAGTTCCTCGAGGGTTGACACCTGCGGGAATAATTCTTAAATGTAATGGTCTACAAATAGGGCAGGCTTTTACAATCTGTTTAGCTTTTGTAAAAGGTATCTTATATTTAGGATGCAAATGTCCTGCATTTGCATGATTAAATTGATGTTCTTCAACGGGTGTGGTGAACATAACTAAGGAATCCACTGCATTGTTACCTGATACTAATGGTCCGGGTAACTGAGAATGAGAACGTAAATGAGTAATAAAATAAGAATGATTTCTTTTTTGAACATGTATTTGTAAATTTTGAAATAAAGACAATAAAGCAGGCTTATTAGAATATAACACAGCTGAATAGATATTTGTCACTACTCCAACAGAATAGGCCGAATCGGCTATAATATTAATAGGTTGGTTATGAAAATCTAAAAACACTTGTAATATAGCAAAAAGTTCATTTTGTTGTACAGAGTTAAAATTTGTCTGACGTACCCAGTAAGATTTTTGAGTCCAATATGCAGCTTTATTTTTAGATCCATCTGTAAATATAGTCAAAGCTTGTGGAATTGGCTGTACAGCTAATAAGGTATTAACCACAAATTGTTGACGTCTAAAAAAATCCCATAATTTACTTTTAGGAAAATGATATGAAAAAGTTCCCATGAAATCTGCTAAAGCAATTTGTAAGGTTTCAGTAATTGACAACAAATATTCCCATTGTTCCTTAGTTAAAGGGATAACTATATTGTTTATATCTTCTCCTATCAAAGTTATAGAACGAGCTCTACCATTCATAATTAAAGCTGCAACCATGTCAATATAAGGCATAACATTTTTAGATTGCTTAGTTTTAGTGAATACCCATTCTACTGGCATAGCATTTTGACCTAAAACTGCAGAGGGATATTGAAAAGTATTAATAATATATAAAGTTAGAGGCAATTTAGGATCAATCCTAATTAAAAATGCATCCTTAATTCGTTGTTCTACAAACTGTAATTCTTGCTCTGCTTTTGCTGTTAAAGAACGAGGGCTGGATGGATCTGAAGAGCCCTGTAGAGTAGCAAACAAATGTTGTAATGCATGGGTAGGGATACCTAGTGTGGGACGAAGCCAATTAATATCCCCTAATAATTTTTGAAAATCATTTAAAGTGGATAACTTATCTCTCCTAATAGACATTTTTTGTGGAATCACCTTTTGTCTAGTAAGAATATATCCCAAATAATGACTAACTTCTTCCTTTTGAATTTTATCCTGTGCTATTACAAGTCCAAACGGAGAAAAATATTGAGGTAAAGTTTTTAAAATATCTTTTAAAACATTTCTATCACTATATTAGCATTTTTGTCTTGCCTTTTTCGCACAACCTTCCATAAACCACATGTGCCACTGTAAATATTCTGGCTCCTTTAAAAGAATTTTGGCCAAGGCTTTCCAATCATAAGGAGCAAGATTACCATAGTGATCTGCTACCGATGTTATTAATTCTCTAGTGTAATGAGCCTGAGGGCCATAAAGGGTTACAGCCTTTTTTAATTTTGCTAAATCATCCATATTAAATGCTTCCCATCTAGGGGGAACTGCCTCTCCATCTATTGGCTGAGGTCTGATTACAGGGAAAGCAAAGGCAGGCTTTTCCTCATCAGAATCCCTTAATTTTGGTAGATCAGCCAAAGCTAGCTTGGCTTTACTCCAATTAGGGTTAGATGGAGGAGGTGCAGAGGGAACTATAGGCGGGTTTTGCTTAACGGAGAGTTGTTTCACCTCTTGTGTTAAATGCTGTATAGCCTGTAAAATTGGGCGATTGTCATAATTTGATATTGCTGCGGCAGCTAAAGCTGAGTCGGCTGTAGTGGATTTTACTTTTAGTTTGGACGCCTTTTCACTACTTAAAGCGATAGCGTCATTTTGAACTACATTCTGCTCCTCCTCTGTGAGGGGCAATTCCTGAATAACTGGCTTAATTTCTAGTTGAAGATTTTCTACAATATGTTCATCTTCCATAGCTTTTAATAAAGAGTACACAACCGACCAAATAGCCCAAAAACGTAAAGGAATCTTCTCCTCCTGTTGCATAGCCCTTTCTATACTAACCCTTGCCTTCCTCCATACTTCTACATCCAAAGTTCCTTCATCTGGAAACCAAGGATTATATTCTTTAATTGTATCAATACACATATCCAAGTCAGCTGACCTGAGCGATATGCCATATATAGATAATAAATGTTTAAGAATTTTTAAGAAAGGAGAGGAAGCAGATTGTCCCATTTCCCCGTAATAAAATTATACTTACCTTCCTAAGCGACCTTCGGAGTCCCTGAATTCGGGCGCCACTTGTCGTGAGTGTCTAGAGCACTCTGAACTCCGGGCAAGGTAAACACGCACGCCTTGTCGGGACACGGGGGGTACAGCGCTTGGAAAAGAAAGACAGGAGAGACACCTTTGCTGTCTGCACCGCGTTACACTGCACTGCACTGCACTGTACGCACAATCTTTATTTTAGGATTCATATATAGTAAACCCGATCAATTCACAGAGCCCAGATAATTAAGTAGTGAAAAGGCATTCTTTGTGGCAAGCTACAACGTGACAGACTACAATGTTTATTCTAAAACTATCTAAGTGAAGTAAATAATCACAACCAGTTCTCACAACTTCTCTAGCCCAGGAAGAAATTCATTAGCTCAAGAATGTTGTTAATTTGTCTGCTGTTAGTGTCACAAAGGGTGGCCAGCCACTTCCTCAAGACTTCTGCAAAACAAAGCCAGCTCACAGTATGGATTCCAGAGGGTGAGGGCTCACTGAGAACAGGCATTCCCGTTCTACCTCCTTCTCGCATACCAGGGCGGCTATTGTAAATTGCAGGTTAGAGGGGGTTGGGCCTACAAAGTGACACCTCATCCCCCACAGCCCCAAAAGGCAGGCGCCACCTCAGAGCCTTTGTTCCTTCCTGAGCTTCCACACAGTGGCAAGACATGGTCCCTCACTGATAGGGATCCTGTCTCCTCTGGTCTTCTCTACCACCTGGAAGCCAGGGTCCTGCGTGTCTTCCTTCTGTTGACTGAGAATAAAGTCAGCCTAGTGGGGAACAAAGGAAGTGCCATTTTGAGGGGTTCCATTAGGATTGCAATCCAGACAAATGCAGATTGAAACCATCTGTATTCCCGTGCTATGCTTTTACAAGATGGTGGCCGTTTTCACAGCTTGAAACCCAAAGGGGTTGGAGTGTTAGAAATTACAACTGGTACTGGCAGAAGCCAAGCTGTTTTGCAAGACAGGAGCTGTGTGCCCGCTGAGCCTCTGGGCAGACTGTGGGGCGGGGTAATGTACAGAGGTCAGCACTCCATGTTCCTGTTGGGAGGGTTCTTTGTACAGAAGAACGTGTAATATTGCAGGAATCTGCAGATTTGGCCCCATCCAAAGGTTTGCTGGCCCACAGGCTGGGTCTGTCTGCAGCCCAGTTCCAAGGGGCAGCAGGGGGAGTCTGAGACCAGATCTAACGATGTCTGCAGAGACCATTTTCAGTGCCATGTTGACCCAGAATGGCTTCTCCACAGCCGATTCAGGAGCGCCTCCTGGAGGGGCAGGGTGGTGGGGACAGTACATAATGGATGCTTTGACTTGGAGACCTTGGGATCCTGGGCTCCAGACCCCTGTCGTCCTCCACCGAGGAAACTGCTGCACCCCAGCAAGAGTGTGAACCAGGGCTGGGAGCCGCTGTAGCCCATAACTCATGGGCCCCTAAATTAATTACCATGGCATTGGCAGGGAGACTGCAGCCCGTCTCCTGGAAACCACCTCCAGCTTATACAGCACTTGGATTCGTTAAAATATTGAACCTGTTAGGAGGAAAATGGAAAAAGCCAGACAAGATGTTCTCCAGCCTGGCTGTGGGGCAATCTGCTGGCTCCTTTGCCTGAGATTGATGGCATGGGGTCTGGAGCGGGGCAGGTCTGCAATGGCTGGCTGCAGTAACACCCAGGAAATGCGATATTTTGTAATCTGTGGACTTGTCATGTAAATTAGTGTCCTTAAAGGGCTTTTACATGTGTCTGGCTTTCCGTGCAGACGCCAGGAGCACCAGACAGAGGGACATCCATCATCCTAAGGGATGGTTTCCCCGGAGCACAGTGACCACCTCATGCTCTTCAAGGGCAAGCACGGGGTTTTCTTCCCCTCCTGCAGGGGCAGCCATGTGACTTGGGAATAGTGGGGACAGCCAGTCTTGCAA